CGATTCGATTTGAAAAAATCAAATCAAATTCAAATTGCTTAAATATTTGATTCGATTTGATTTTGAGGAACCCTAGCCAACACTCTATTGCATTGGGTATTTTTATCCTATTGAGAGCCTGTCTCATTGCCTCTGGAGTCTGACAGTTCTGAAACATCTTATCCAACATTTTTCGATAATAATATGCGTTTGAATGGTACTTTTTTACGTGCTAATCACAAAATCCATATTCAGAAACCATCAGTCTTTCACAGTATGCTAATTTTTTGAGATAAATTTTGTTCCAAAAATCCATCCTAAGGCAGAAATTTTACTGGACCACTTCCTAAGGCAGAGTTTGTTATAGAAGAAATTGTTCTTTTTTCGATTCAACTTCTTCTTGTATTATTTTTCCTAGATTCCCTAGGTTTTCTATTAAAAAATAAAGTTCTTGGGAGAATAACGAAATTTTTCTATGGTATCTTTTGGTATATGTATCAGTATGCTACATATATACTATGTGTATGTTATATGCATGCTATATGTATGTTATACTCATAGATAAAAAATAAAAAGTAAAGAAGTCTGATTTTTTCTAGGCTATCTAGGGCATCTAGGGCAGATCATTCAAGAAATCATTCTAGCGTCCTAATAAAGTTGATTTGCTATTTCGCTTCTTCCTCTGGAAGTCAAAAATTTCCTAAGGCAGATTTTTCTAGGGCAGATGTTTCTAAGACATTTAGCTTCTTCCTATAGTAATATGTTTTTGAATAATACTTATCTATATGTAAATTACACATACCATAGATTGAGGTAGTTGGTTTCTCACATTGTTTACAAGGGTTCCACTAGCGTTTTTTCCAATAAATTTTGCATCCTTCTTCTCAGATACTAGCTTGTTCGCATACACTCCCTTCATTAGAAATATATTGGCAGATAAATTTAGCTCTCATTGGATATCTCTTAAATTACTACAATTATTTTTTTATTTAAATTTTTTTCCCAAGACAATATATCCCGAGTTTAGGATATAGTATACCTTTTAAAAGTTATCTAAAAATGACCCAATCTGAACTTTCAGATTTCCTTGACGCCCCTATCCTTTTTCACCCAGAGGTTGAAAAAAAAAAAGTTGGTCAAGTACTTCATTATTTTGGCAAGAATTACTTAATAGGCATCCCAACTCGTGACGAATTAGTTTTGAGGTATAATGAGGGTTCGATTTCAATTCTTAAGGATGAGATAGCAAATCATCGAGATATCCCATTCATGCCGATCGACATAGAAGAATCCAAAGAATATATTAATTAAATTCCCTATTATATTCTTCGTTTCTATGGATATCTTATTAATAATCAGAAAACAGTTGTCACCATTACTGGTATCAAGGTATTTTTTAATATTCATGTTCCTAATAATGTGAGCATTCCCAAATTCTGGTCCAAAGTAAAGAGTATACTTACTACTGAGAAAGACAGTAGAGAGAGTACTATGAACATAAATCTAATCCAAATGGAATGTATAAAGGCATATCATATTTGTAGTTATCATGCGGAAAAAAAGCCATATCTCTGTATTGTCACATCCAATAGAGACGAAAGGTTTACTGCTCTTGATATGGGACCTTTGCAATAGAAAGGGGGGAAACTGCCGGGAAAAATTAATTTTACTTTTATATGCCAAATATGATTTTTATGCTGAAATATGTTCAAATTTAGCATTAACTCACTTTTGATTTTTCCGGCTGTTTCCCTCCTTTCTATTGCAAAGGCCCCATATTATCTCAAACTACAATTCAAATGTTGATCCTGAATGTAAAATAGAGACAACTTCAGACGATATAGATACATATTATCGTAAAGTTGCAAGAGAGTATCGAATATCATTTTCTGGGTGAGAATTAATAAGTAATTATAGATATAATTTCAGTGCATCTTATTATGCAAAATCTTATTACTACTTACATGCATTTTATACCCACATTGATAACTTTCGCCCTATAGACAATTTTGAACCACTTTACAAAATCTATCACTCTTCTTTCTTTACTCATGATCGAGCATTAGTTCTAATATGGAACATAGAAACATACGATTCACGTGGATCACAGAACTTCCCAAAAGCAAAAAATGACACGTCCTAAGTTTTTACGATCTGCATGACCCTACACTGGAAAGACGATCCAAAACCACTAGAACAAATATGTCTTGTTGATGTTGAGACAGCTTTAGATTTGCACAGGACAACAATTATATGTAAGAATCAAGCCAATTTATTAAAAGCTTTTGCTTTATGTTGGAAATCTTTTGCCCCAGATATCTAGCTTAGTTTTAATAATTCAGAATGATATTACATAAAGATGACATGGATGACTCAGATGACGAATATGACTGCAGTGACTAATATGTCATATATGTCTTCTATGTCATATATCTTATATA